ATCATTCTTGTTCTAAAAAAAAAAAAATCCCAACCAAATAAAACAACAAAGAGAAACAAACACGGAAATGTCCCACCACCACATATATGTATACGAAATTATAATAAAACAAGATTCAAAATTATAAAACATGTAGGGTTGGGGTGGGGGTGGGGTATCATGAGTGAAAGCTGAAGACAGACTTTATGTAAATTGTCGTCGACATGACGTAGGTCTGACAGTATAGCACCAGATACGTCTTGTTAATCTCTGATCCTATCAATCGATGAGACTGAGAGGGTTAAATGTACATTGATGACATCAGATAATCCGGTTTGGCATAGATTAAACAATAGACCGATTGGCTACAAACAGACGAGACGGATATGAGATAATCCGAGGTGGCACTGATTGGAAAAGACATTCGTAAATGTGATTTAATTTTGTGATTTTGGGGGGGGGGGTAAAATTTCAACCTCAACCAACTACCCAGATTATTTATATGATCGGTAAATAAACTATTTTAAAAAAAGAAGAAAAAAAAATTAAAACAAACTCTATATGTACTCAGATGTTATGGTTTAGATTTAATGTGTATTCTGTTCTGTTTGCTTAAAATGCCTTTCTTATTTCCCTCATGATTGAAATATGAATAGCAATTCTGATAATTATAAGGTTATTTTTATTATTATGTATTTACAACATTGGTGGGACTAAAATAAAGTGATTATATTATTAGATTAAAGAAGAGGTGGGGGGGACTTAATCCCGAATGACAGATTTTGGAGAAAAAAAGACGATGGTACTGGGCGGTTTAGATTTGGCTACGCAATTTACTCTTTAAGTAATGGAGAAATAGAAAATTTAAATTAATATTATACATAATGGAATTTAATACAATGTTTTATAGAATTTATTGAACATTTTTCTGTATATCCTAACGATATATAAATTCCAGCCCTAGTCGTTCGAAAGGGACAAAAACCGAGGCCACCAGTGTACACATTGGGTGTACAATTTGTCTCTCTGTTTTCTTCAGACATGGCGGGGTGTCACAATTGTGTATTTATCCTTAATGACATAAATAATAAAACACAAAGGACCCAGGACCGTTAAAACACCGAATCGAGGGAGACTGAAAGGATTAAATGCATATTGACGGCATAAGATAATCCCTTTTTGACATAGATTAGGGGATAAATAGACAGTAGTTAATCCGGTGATATACTAGTAAACTATATTTTTCAACACCTCAATATACAAAACAATATACATGTTGGATAAGACAGCCTGGGAATATTCATTTCCCTTAATTTGATTACTGAAACTTTTATTAACCACGCTAATAACTCATTAATACTGATTTTATCAGCGATGTCACCTTCAGTGAAAGCGGACGTTAAATTACAGCTAGTAATAACAGTACATCATATTGTCGTCGACATTCCCAAAAAATTATTAAACGCCATTTCAGACAAGTAAAATAAAATTCAAAACATTCACCTAACTAAATATATCTTAAAATATAATTAAAGATTTAAAAATGATTTAAAGATTTGACAAGTTTTAGGAAAGTTTTGAATTTTATTCCAGTATTACATTATGAACAGTGCTTTCTAATATATTTATTAATAAAGCATTGTTGTCGATCAAGATAAGTCATTCTTCCCATGTCCTATATTTCTTTCATCTAACACTAAATTATTAATGTTTTCATCACTACTTTATTATATTATGTATTAGACTCCGATCTCTCATCCGTGTGCTAACTTGTCCGATTAATGAAACGATGTTGATTGCACAAAGCGATTTAGGTAAAACTATCAGTAAATAGTAAATCAAAACATCGTAGTAATTCTGAAATTAAATAATATGTGTCGTGCAAACGTTTATTTCGTTAAGATTTATATTTAAGATTCAGAAAGGAGTGAATTACGGGTGTTGTATATATAATACTATGGGGATAGTATATCTAGATATCTTATACATGTAGTAATTCTGAAAGTAAAATAATACATATATGTAGTTAAAACATTATTTTTTAAAAGATTTATTCTTAAATTTAGAAAGGATTGACTTACGGGTTTTATGTATAGCGTAGGTATACAATCATAGATAAATCAAGAAAACACATAAATATAGAATTATATGCTGTCTACAGATATGTTTATGGACAATAACGTCCATCATATTTTGACTTGTTTTCAGCCATTTTGTATTAAGGTCTATACTTGTTATTCACATAAAACATCCGTGGCAATATATCCAATCATAGAAAAACATAAACACACATAAAACAATATGATAATCCAAAAAATAAAAACTGATTCATATCTACACTAGTGTAGAATGATGAGCGTGAAAATCTTAATTTAGGCTTCGTATCCAATATTCCGACGGTTGAATAAACCAAAATTTCATTTCAATTATATTTTCAGGGTTTGAAAACTATATTATCCATATAAGGCTATAGATCCGCATCTTGATATGATTATTACCCAAACTTCAGAAACATAGTTTCAAATGCTTGCAAGCACCATCCGTATCCAAAATATATTTCACATCAAAATTCAGAAACATTCTAATCGCTCGCAAACGCCATCAGTATCCAAAATAAATTTCACATCTTAATTTCCATGTTTAAAAAGTACTCGATGTGTTCATCTTGTAACTCTAACGACAAATAATAGAGTTGGAAAGAACTGGGTCTAATAAATGTGGCTGATGCCGTATAATATAAAGCGGTAAATTTAGTTTATTATAGGGAAATAAAGCTATATAATACAACCATGATAGAAAGTAATATATAATCCCCTCCATACACAAACGACCAGGGCTTCATGTACACAGTATAAAAATTATTATTTTATAACACAAATAAAACCATATAGATGTTGAGCTTTAATCACAGCTTGTTATAAATTCACAGTTCTCTCTGTACCTTAATTTACTCGATATAGTTTATTACTCTTTTTTATATACTGCCCGGTTATATTTCATCCTTCGTGTAAAAATTAACCTTTGTTTATGATACATGTTTATGAGCAGTGTTCATTAGATATATACACGTGCCTTTTCGATCCCAATATTTCCCGAAGCACCAAATACCCATTGAGATTTCCTTCTGAAAAAAAAAATGTCCCACCCCATCTCGTGTTCTTTTGTTTTCAGCAATATTTTGATAATATGCCAATATGAAATAATAAAGATATTCAATCAATTCACTGTGTTTTCAGTGGTCAATATTAGAAATATTAGTGACCTAAGACCTGGCCCGTGCTACCCCAGTTGTAATAATGCAGCTACAGCAGTTTTGTGTCTGCAAATCAATTTTCGAAATATAAACGTATTTAAAAAAATATTCTTAAAGATTAAACTTATCATCTTAAAATTTTTATTTTATTTTTCAAATTAGGAATATCTTGTAGACGACTGTCTGCAGTGCTAGGATGTCACAAATCTAGACTTGCCACCTAACTTCGCCGTTCCCACGGACAGAAAATACCTGTGTGTTTAGAAAAAGCACGATGGTGTTTTGATAATCTGGACTAGATTAATGGAGAATTAAGTAGCCATGATTGTCTAACCTTGTTTCGTGTAGAAACGAACTATCAGTGCCAGTTAAGGGTATATTGATCCGTAGTTAAGTTGTTAAATAAATCAATCAGTCTGTTACCTGTAATTTACCTGTGTATATTGGTACCTGTGTGTTATACAGGTAATTATTATAATATACATGTGGCACTTCTAGACCAATCATTGTTTTACAAGTATAATGTCGTCACCTATGAAAACGTACCATGGGAAAGTCTTTTTTTACCTTCTATTATTTTTAGATCTTATTTTATTTTTTTATTTTTTTAGATCTTATGTTATTTAATTTTTTAAGACATTTCAAATAATTATTATAATTACGGGTATAATGGTATAATGAATACTTTCTCTTAAGACACTCGATGGGAATTTTTCGGGGTAACTTATTTAATATATTTTTTTTTTAAAAATTGGCAAGTTAACTGATCCAAAAATTGACGTTTTCACAATAATATCCACATTATTTATTTCACAAAGTACATATTAATAGTAAACAAATTATACATGAGACCGAAACTGACCAAAATGTCGTAGATTAAATTACACGGAGAAGAAATATATGAGATCAATTTACAGTTTCTTTCATAAAGACATTAAAATAGTTTACTCTCCAACATCAATCGTCCATTCTCTCTAAATATTATATCTATTAATAAAATATTGAACATTCCTATTACTATTCTATCAAAACCTTTATCTGGAGATGTCCAAGAACAATTGAAATTTTTTTATAACAGTTGGTAAATAATAGATGCTAATGAAACAAATTCATGAAATAACCAGTGAAATTTAAAAAAATAGCACTTAAACAGAAATAAAATGAAATGGGGCTTAGCGTTCTACTGTTGTACTCTAGACTGGGTTAATGAAGACGCCAAAACTAATATCTGTTGACCAACTCAAAATTTTAAAAGTAACTAAAAATGTTAATCGAAAAACATTAAAATGGCCATGTTTCTTGTATGAAATTATTAAAAGTGGCAATCACTTAATAAATAAAATGAAGAATACATATACGTATATTTATATACGAAATGCTATAGAAACTGTCGATGGCTAAGGTTTCTAAATTACAATCTCGAACCAAATAAAACAATAAAAAGCTTTAGAAAATAAAATATTTGTTTTTACACAACAATAAATAAGTAAAATATAATTAAATCATTTTCTCGAATTTAACAAAAAGATCTATTTATTAACAAAATCATTAAAATGTAATTTCAACCAACTAAGAGTATCTTATTACTTAGCTCATACCTTTTGATGATCGCCGACTAATTTGCATATTGTCACAATTAACGTGTTGTAATGTGACAGGGGCGGAGCCAACTGTCATAACTGGTCACGTGACTAGATTGTGGGAGGAGCTACAGGCCCATAAGGTATGTAAACCAGCTTATTCCGTCATTCTATACGAATTATTCGATTACTGGTTTTTATTATAGATAGTGCTGTCAATTCGTGGTGATATATATTTTAATGACGATATAAACTTTAGAGATAAAAATACAAGCGAGATTTTCTAGTGTTATATAGGACTTATATTGTGAGAGACAATTGTGTTACTAAGCAGAAATTATTCCTGGAGTTAGACGGAGATTAAGAATCAGAGATGGCTGTTTGTCATGAGAACTCCAGTTCCGTGTTTTCTACGAGACCGAGTCCGACCAGTTTCAACTTTCCGCATTTTGGTTACGGGGCACAGGCTCCTGGTTATGCCCCCGATTACAGTCAATATAGCTCCATGGCTGAAGCGACGTACCAGCAACCCCCGTGGGCCGGGATGTATGCCAGTGCTCCCCGCGCCGCTCACTCTGGATTAGAAGACTGGACCCAAGGTTACATGGTGCCAGTGACATCCTCAGCCATCCAACAGCCTTACAACTACTCCTACAGACCCCCAGTAGCAACTACCATGGGTATCGATTATTCTCAGAGTGTTATGGGACAAGGGCATTCTCCACTCAACGGTTCCCCACCCCTGACTTCATCTGGTGATGACAGCCCTAATGGTTCAGGTTCCAGCATCTCCAAGGCCATGAGAGCACCTTATGAATGGATGAAACCTGCCCAGGCACCGCCTGCTAGTGGTAAGTTGTTATTATTACAATATAAAATATCCAAACATTATGAGACAGATTCCATTATATAAGATTTAATACCGATTCCAGATAATTTAAAATATTGTCCTTAAAAAATTGGACTATACATAATTATGTATTGAGATATAAAATAGATGCGTTTCTCAATTCACACCATATATTTTGACATTTTAAAAGTGTTACATCTTTCTTGTTTCAATGGGAAAAAAGGGGAATATATATACATATATATAGCTTATCCTTCAACATTTATCAAAGTTGTTTTAATTAATCTCTTAACCCCAAGAACTTCCTAGATTCCTCTGTAGTAGAAAAGCGGGGATATCAATTAAATAATTTATCTTAATAACTTAGTGCTCATTTATTATCAAACAAGGAAACACTGATCAATAAGCTAAACAGTAACAGAATTAGATAACTTGAAACGGATACATTTTATTTTTAATTGCAAGAATATATATCAGATATAAATTAACCATGATCCAAAGGCACAGTGTACATCGACTCTCAGAAATCTGCTCTCTAAGCGACAATCTAGCTGACCTAATGGTAGCACCATCTCTGTCTCTAATGATAGAAAAAAATATTTTAAATGATTTAGATTGATACGTATGTATGCATTTCTGGTGTAATAAGGAAATAATGTCGATACATGTCATTATGATGGGAAGTAATGAGAATTTGTCTTATTCAATTAAATTCTATTAATAAATAAAGATTGTCATTTCTTAAAACAAGAACGTCTTCATTAGCCAGTCGGTGAAGACAAGTAGGACGTTAAACCCTATTTCATTTTAAAACAAGATATAACAAACAATAAATTTTATTTATTTAAAATATGAATAGGCATAGCATAAATTAACGCGTGTTATTGCGAATCGATACAAAATCAACAAACACCAATAAATCAAGTTCGTTCTAAAAAAGATGGATCGTGTGATTATGAGAATCAATACATAATCTGTTGGTGTTGACGACCCATAAAATGTTTTCTGTCTAGGATACGATCGTGTAATTATAATGACTAACTAATTTTATTATGTGTAATAAGATCAACTCACATATAAGTCAATTAACCTCTGACCCCAGGTAGGTAAAATTACCTGTATTTTCCCACCTGGTCAATTCACGTGCCACCCGATGTCATCAAGGTAAAACTAATGAATGGATCATAAAATTAATGAATTAATAACCTTTACCATATACATGCCAAATACTTTTGACGCTTTACAGTAACTCTGATAATTTTCTCAGGATTATAAGAGTTGACTAATAAACCCAGAGGAATTTGAAGAACTAAGAGAAAATTGTTTCACAAGTCAGTAGTAAAATCACACAATAATAAAAACATTCGATTCTGATTGAAAACGTTTCATATTTTATACGAAAGGGTTTCAATTCGATTTGTTCCATTTTACGCATTCTGATAAATCCCAACATATGCACATTTGCGGCAAATGAGCAAGAAAAGTAAATCTCTCTCTTCCAAATTTATAAACTTCTTAGTATGGAGTATAGAGATTTTTAGTTTTACGAAATGCTAAAACTTAATCAAAAACACTCAAAAAGTGCAATGGAAAAAAGGAGGCGATGCTTTAAGCTGAGCGGAACAGTTTTCTGTTCCAAATTTAAAAACGTTTGCTCAAGAAATTTACCAACATTTTTTTTAGGAACTCAAAAAACAACACCATAAAAACACTCCAAATATATTTCAAAATATTTACACTAAATAATGAGCCGTAAAACTTTAATTACGTTTAATCGCTTTCTGGTTTTCTTAACAAAATTGTAAAAATCGTCGCGTTTCGAGACCGGCGCAGACAGTCGGGCGACATGGAAAGGCGCGAAATATCAATATTTTGAAATGACACGATGAAAACCCAAAGGTGCCTAAAGTCTTAATTCTGTAGAAAGTTGGCATGCTGTGTTTAAGTTAACGACTTCTTTATAAATATAGTCATTGATAGGTGTAGAGCTAAATTACCCTGACAATAACCCCAACCCTTAAATTTGTCAAGGGCTTTTGACCCTAATGTTGATCCTTTAAATACAAACCTCATTAAGGAACAATACGTTTTTCTTCTGCCTCTATTCATTAATCTCGCCTCCTTTATTTTTCTTTCTTCGATTAGGTAAAAAAGGGATGCGGATCATTGGTCGTTAAGTGTCTCCGAGGGAAAGTTTTTTTAAGGGGTCGTTCCTACAATAGGTCACCGATTAACTAGGGATTACGGCGCTGTTCCCTAAATAAAACCGTTACGTCGACACATATAGAATATGTTTGGTTTAATATGAAATTGAAATCAATTGCCGAAGTAAGGAGTGAACACGGGTGTGTATTCGAATATTGTAATTTTAAAATGCTGATTTCGAGCTCCGTACGAAAAAGCACATTTCTTGTTATCTTCGGTGCGAAAACGTTTTGTTTTCGAAAAGGTTTTCATTATCATTTCTATTTTCGTAAAATTTTACTGAGAAATTGCAGGCAATGCACTGGTCTGTGCGGTAATATTTATAAAGTATAAATTAGGTCATTTTCATCTCTTAAATCAAAACCGCACTTGGAGTCTATTCTACCATGTTGTCTGCATGTGTTATACATTCCAAAAGAACAGATGAAAAACGATCTGTTTATTTTAGGCTTATAAATAATACTACACCAAGATTAACTCTTTAGGGTTCAGCGAAAAAACACAGTAAATTTAGGTGATGGTTCATAGATTAACCCTACTATTACCACATTGACTGAGTATTTAAAGGGTTAATGTCTGTCGGAGGTCTGACTAGGATCATGGCTGAATGGTTTTACGGGATAAAGATTAAGTTCACAACAATAAATTATCGTCTAATCATTAACTTTATGACTATAATGGTCAACACATGATCATCGTCTTCATCATCGTAAAATATAAAATAATTTCTCCGCAGTATTCACAAATCTTCGTATCAAAAATTTAAATAAAAATAAAAAAAACTGTATTTTATGTAAAGTTGAAGAACTAATTTGTACAGCAACATTGAAAAAATAAATTGTTTCCTAGCATTTAGTAATTGAATCGATTAAGACTAGAGGAGTCTTAACCGAAACGTCACTCAGTAATAAGCAATAATTATATTCCATAGAATTGTAATCTGTGTTTTGTAAAAAATAAAATAGAATAGATTTCGCCAATTTTAAAGTCAGTGTAAACATGTGAATTTTAAATAAATTAATTCCCGCGCATTTTTATTTTGATAAAAGAAGTAAGAATGGTGATGTATATAATAACACACAGTTCAAGAAAGGACATGTAAGGAGCATAAGGCTAATTACTTAAGTCATCTTTTAATCAAAAACTTCAAAAACATTTTGGTTCTTAGAAAATTTGAAACTCAAAGAAGTTGATGAAAAATTTATGAAGGATTGTAAGATGAGGAGAAACGCCCTCCCGGTTACTAATGGCAAAAACTGCTCTCCGAATCTTTTTTGAAAGTCACCGCGAGTTTCCTAAATTGAAATCTGATTCTTCTATAAGGTTGTAAAAATAAATTTCGTCACCTAATGATCCATGACCAGTACTCTAAGACAATTCGTTTCGTTGTCATGATCGATTCTTAACGTTTGATGTAACCGCGTCGGAAAAAAATTCTCACCGGGTGTTTGGAAGCGAAACGAAGAAGGCGAGGCTTTATAATTTATTCCTTATAAAGTTATATTGTTGTTTGTGTATGTAAAAGTATTGTTAGGGGTAGGTAAAGAAAGGAATAAAAGGGGTTATTAGATCATTTACGACACCGGGGAACAATAGCGGATGACGTTAGGCATCATTAGTGAACAGCATCGTTTAACTCTCATTAAGGTCCAATTGGGATCTCTAAGGGAGGAGAAGGGGCTATAAACCCTAAGAAGGTTATATTTAAGGAACAACACCTCTTGTGTGAAAAATACATAGCAAGGTTGCGGCGGGACAATTGAGAGGGAAATTAGGAGACAAAAGGGGGACTAAGACAATGCTGTGAGCAGTCAAGTGAAAGCACCGACTTGTAATTATTTTCGCCTAACAATATTTCTTTCGTCACCTTCTTCGACGGCTTGATCATGAGAAAGTTTTCTAAATCGAGTTTAAATCGAGCCGATTACAACGCGTGAAAACTTTAAAACAAAATCCTCAATCTTCAAGTGGCTTAAAATACGCCAAGTTACAAAGTTAACAGCTACTAAAACAAGATTAAACACCCTCAAGTAGTATTAATCTGGATTATCCTTGAATAACTATACAAAACTAACCGTTGATAAACGAACAGAGGAAACAGTATAGAACAAAATATAACGGGACTCTAATCAAGATCATACTACTATCTACTATATATGAATAAATCCAGAGAACATATATAACAAGACATTCATAAACAAATTCAGAGCGAATATTCCTTAAGTTTTAATACGTAAATTTAACCACTGAAAACCAAATAACGAAAAGAGGACATAAAAGAGTACATAACTTTGTAAATTATTTAGGAATATGATGTGTAGAATATAACCTATTTATCCCTGTCGCTCCCTTTTTATTTACAATACTTTAGGTATTTTTGACAAGACCACTCTTGTTGGTTCTTATTGGTGATTAGTAGAACTGGGAGACGTTAATCAAAATCAGCGACTTTAAAGCAAATTCACTTTAATTTTTGTTACAAAATACGAACGTCCTTATGGATATGATCATGGCGATAAAATTAACGAGCAGTAGAGTGAATAGGCTATCTGCTTTATACCATGATTTAATAAGGAAATATCACTAGTTTCAATATTCCTTGTAGTGGCGCCCTCAAAGGATTTCTCACTTTGATGTTGAACTCTTAATGGTCGAACCCACCTTACTAGGTATTTGTTTTAACTAAACATTCTTCATTAAATCATACTAATTAAAACTGAACAAATCACATCAAAAACACAATTATGTCAAATAACATTTGATATCAGATCTATACTCATGATATATTCATATTGAAATTATTTAATTGAATAAAAATTCCCTTTGGTTGCCAACTGAAATTTTCTTATAAAGATTTAAATCATATAAATGGCAGGATATTATTTCCGTTTCTTTTTAAAAACTAAAAACGTGTTTTATTAAACGGATTATACCTCACTCAATTAACTAATAATTCATAGAAAATTGACAAATAATTTCATAAAAAATAATGATTTAGCAATAGTAAATGAAATGAAATGTGGTTTAACATCTCACTTTTCTGTGTCAACTTGGCTAATGTAGACGGGCATATGCCTTGCAGTGTGCTGTGAGGGCAATTTTGCCGGGACAGCGGCGCTACGGTTACTCTGAAAATATTTCTAATTAAAACTGTCAATAATTCTTTTACGTACACGGCTATAGCAATTGTCTTATCTGTATTTTTGTTTATATAATGTTTATATTTTTCTAATTTTAGGTAAGACCCGTACCAAGGATAAATACCGGGTTGTATATACTGATCATCAACGTTTAGAATTAGAAAAGGAATTTCACTATAGTCGTTATATCACTATTAGACGTAAAGCTGAGATTGCTGCACAATTAGCTCTTTCAGAGAGACAGGTAAATATACTATAAATATTTAGTAACTGAATAGAGCAATAATGAAATGGAATGGGGTTTAACGTCTTACTCTTCTGCTTCGACTAGGCTAGGGAAGTTTTACGTGTACGCCCATGTGTACACGGGTTGATTGAGCAATAAACTATAATATATACTTATCGAAGAACAATTACTTATTTGTAGAGCAATAAACTATACCACATACTATAACAACCGTGAAGAATATATATATATAGAGAGAAATGGGGTTCAACGTCCACTCGACACAAACTAGGTCATTTCGGGACTAACATATGGTTTAATTGTATTTACATAATTCGCTTGCGCGTAGGGGTCTTTAGCAGTGGGAGGAAACCGGAGGACCCGGAGAAAACCCACGAGGTTGAACAGGCGACCCTACTCCTTGTCACGTACAGCCGGGGATTCGAAACCACGCCAGTCGACTCAATGACTTTATGATACAGAGCGCGCACGCTTACCATTCAACAATCCAACCCCCCGTGAAGAATATAACCGTTAGATAAATGTAAAAGTCAGTCATCTTAGTTATCATCATTCATTGTTTTTATTTATAATTTTCAGGTTAAAATTTGGTTCCAGAACCGTCGTGCCAAAGAAAGAAAACAAAATAAGAAAGGCAAAGATATGGATGGTGGCATGCCAGGTAAACTAGAATACGACGAACCATTGTCTCCCTCTAGTGGAAACATGTCTCTACCAAATATAATGAATACAGATATCCAACAACACCATCAACAACAACCACAACAACATTCCTATCATCATCAACAACATCATCAACAGTCACACTCCCCACAACCAGTGCTCTCTCCTCCCACATCTCTCCCACAGCTGATGGTGAAAAGTGAACTTTCGGCTATTGACTTAGGTAATTCGGTTTCACCCCCGCATTCCTATTAACCCTTGTTTGTGAAAAATATTGTAGTGTGTATATGTGCGAATTGTGAATTATACCCAAGACCTATCCGGTCCAAAGCGTTGCGCTACGTGGTCGGTGAGGGCAAATAAAGCAGAACTCAAAATTTGAACTTTATAAAACGAGAGACCATTATGAGATTCTGTGATTTGTTAATGAAGTTTTTTTTTGTTATTTTTGTTGTGTTTTCGTTTCGATTTTATAATGTATTTTAAATCAATTACTTTTCTTATTTGATACGAATCGTATTTCACCCAAATTGGCTCAAAATGTTTATTTTTTTTAATGAAATAACGTTTATTTGAAATAATTACAAATAATAGGGCTGTAAATAAAAACTGTACATAGAAAGAAATCCTCCCCGTGTGAAATAAAAAGCGAAAAACATATTAATTTGTACATTTTGCCAAGTAACCTATTGACATCACGTCTTAAATGTAAATATATTTATTTCTTTTAGTGGTTAAATAAACTACGAAATAAAATCCTTTACGTAAAATATTTGTTTTTATTTTTTTTACAAAAATCTTTCAAAGTAAAGGAGTGTTAGCTATGTATACTTGTAATACTGTCGGGTAATGGATACCAGTAGAATTTCTGGTCACGTGGTACATGAGAAGTGACGTTTTAAGCATTATCTGATTACGTAAGGTCATGTGAGAGATATGGCGGGAAATGAGGAAGCGATGACAGGATATGACATGTTTATGACGTGTTTATAGCCCTTTATGCCCTCGACACTATTAATGGGAATTCCTTGTCGTCATACTAAATGTATTACCATGTACAAACATGCAGACTTGTAATAAATTCCAACGTAGGTCCACGGAACTGAGTTTCACCATGGACCTTATAATGTTCCACCCGCCCGACCCTTTCAGTTCTCTCTGAAACTCATTCCATGCTGATCGTAATGAAGTTGAGATATGTTACTTGTTCTAGATGCATATGGGCCTACTGATAACCCTAAAGTCCTTTAGGTTGGGATAGCCTACTAAGTTGACTGTCACACAAGCTTGGGCTAGAGCATTGGTCCACCTTCCTTATCAGACAGCAATAAATATTGGTAGGCTAGCAATGACTGACTAGTTCCTTACGTGTTATCGATCATTAAAGACGAAAGCCCGAAGCGGTCACTTTAAGGGAAATTTCCTCAAGATAGACTGCTAGAATCTTATCTGTTTCACTTAAGTCACTGCCTTGTCTAAAGGACTCTAAGTTGAAAATAATCATGTCAGGCTGCCTTCGACAAACAGAAAGTCGGGCCAACAAACGACTTGATCATATTTATGACCCTTTAAACGTTCTAGAATGGTTGATACGTCACCAAAATTTGTAAAATATGGCGGCCATAAAACAAGAAACGTGACATTGAGAGCTCTTCACCAGGAATCAACAAATGTTTAGTTTTAGTCGCAACCTTCCACCCAGTACTTTGCTATCTTTCCGTCATGGAGAGTGGAGTAAAGGAGTGGGTAATTTATAACCGTAACTAGTGGTAATGTCAATAAATGATATTGGTATTAGTAACGTGGTTTATTTGATTAGTTTCCGACTCGACCCGTCAAAGATAAGAGACAGCGATCGATATGTCAATGCACTAGCTTTGTCTACAGTATGACTAAAAGATTATAAATAGAATAGGAATTGAGTTTAGTGTCTCGTCAACACAATACTTCAGTCATTTTGAGCCTGAAATACTGTTCTTTTTCTGCAATCTCTACCCGGAAAGCGTCGGTTCCGCCAGCTCTTCATTAAATTTCAACTGTTAGGGATTCTTCTCACACCCGAACAGCTAAGCTCATTTTCCCCGAAAACCCCTAGGCGCTTCACTGCTCCTGTCAAGTAGGGACCGGCTTGCACAATGACAAAAGTTATTCGCTGTCCACGCCAAGATTCCAACCTGAAAAATCCAAATCAAGAGTTCAGTGCCCTTACCGCGGCCTCAAATTACAAATAAGCCTACGAATAACAAATGCGGATAGGCAACAACAAAATATTGTTAGCTTACTGAAATTGACAAATACATGCCCCAGTAAGAGTGATTAATGCCACAACTAGTCTCCGATGTTAGTTTTATTGATAATCTGCACAAAGTACATAAATGGATGTTTCAGTTTAACGCATAGAAGACATACCTGAATTGAATAGAGAACGATAATTGCATACATCGAAAATGGTTACTTAATCAGAATGGATTGTGTTTATTCTTGATGAACATTGATACATACCTCGCTGTATAGGTGCGTGTGTAAGGATATGTGGTAGTCTGCATCCGCGTAGAAAATATATTATTTGGAGTTGTCTCCCTTACAACACCTTTTATTTCTCACTAACAATGACGGACAAACACCACGCCGTGTGCTATAAGGTAATTTGGTCCAGATCGCGGAGCTACGACCTACTCTTATTGCTACCAATGGTATGCACGTGATCTCTGTTTATCGCTTCATCCTCCAAGAAAACTTTTATAAATCGTGGTGTCTACGGTGATGTATGGCTCATATCTGGACCCAAACATAACAATCAATTTCATAACCAACATCGCCAAAACAAACAAAAAGCTAAAAATGAAATGTTTCATAGTAACAGAATATACATGTATAAATGATTTTTTTTATACCATCATAAACTATACAGGTCCGCCACTGTCTGCTAGTCAATAGTCACAAGACCCATCTTACACAAAATATCATTAATATCATTTGTGTTATTAAATCAGGAAATGGGTTTCGTTGTTATTTCGCTTTCCTGTTGAATACACACAATATTTCCTTCTTTGCATTGTTACATTCTCCATTAATTCACAGCTTGTGGTCATAATCCCGGTTGATTCAGAAAAGTAAGATGTTAGACTCTATTACGTTCCATTTGGTACTTTTGATACCAGTATAATTTCTTCCAAATTTTCTTTTTTTATTTGATCTAGTGTAATAACAAAAATATCTATCAATATCTAGAAACTCATTATGATTATCGTTACACCATATTTTCGTAAGGCGCTGATAATAAAAAGTCAAGTCGATGATATTTGGTGGGCTGTATCCATATTTGAATTTGGAGTTACCTCCCCTATGCCATACAACGGTAAAATTGTCGGCGATATCACTCAGGTGGAAGCGGACGTTAAATAAAGTTATTTCACATACGGTAATTTTAATAACTTTTGTTACATTTCATTAGACGTTAAAAGGGAAATTTAAACTGCTTTTTATTAACATAATAGAAATTTGAGATTTATATCCATATTAGGGGTTTTGTTCAATAATTGTTTTTGTATGGTTAGATTACAGTATACAGGTTTTATTTGATATTGTTTTTATTAATTGATTTTGTATGATCTAGTTTATACATTAGTGAGGAATTTTCGGCAACGATTAACATGACTGTAGTTATCTCCCTTACTCCACACCATAGCCCGTCACACCTGTCTGTATATTATTTATTGGTACTTCGGAGTCGCGCTAAGCTGATAGACCCGTTTTCGTCACCTGTATTGGCCGAGAAGTTCATCGGGAGTTTCGGGCGTGCTATGAGGGAAATTTTGCCCGGGCAGCGGCGCTACGGCCTACTATATCGAATTCCAACTGCCAAGGGATCATTTACGTGCACGCCAATGTGTACACGGGACCTCGGTTTTTCGTCCCATCCGAACGACTAGGCAGCTGTCCTTGTCAGGCCCTCCGTTCTGCATCACTGACAAAGGGAAACCACGCTGGAAAATCGAGATGAACTTTCTCGGCCAATGCAGGAATCGAACACCCGACCTCCAGGCTAGCGAGCCAGCGCCTTACCCACTTAGCCACGTGATCCCCCGGAATTCGAATGAGAATAGGTCGTAGTGTCGCTGTTCTGGCAAAATGTTCCTTATAGCACACATGACAATCTTCATTAGCGCACTCGGAGCAGAACAGCAGGACATTACCCCACCCCCTTTTTCATTTCATATCATTTATTGGTACTTGACAGGCCCGGCGGAGTGGGGGGGGGGACTTTAACCCCCCCCCCCCCCCCAATAATTGGGCTGCAAGTACTCTTTTCTCCAGGTTATTGCGGCCCCTGGACCCACGCTTATAAGGACCTAGGATGGACGCCCCCCCCCCCCCCCAATCAAGAACTGTGTCCGCCGGCCCTGCTTGATGTGTTTCACTGCCTAGGTTCGATGGCTGAGGTTGACCGTAACGTTGCTCGAGTTGTATAGACGATTTCCTGATTCAACCAGAGTGGTGGCATATGATTACTTGCTTTACTTTATTACTTACTTACAAACATGTAATATATTTGTACATTTGACTATTACTTGCTATTACTCACTTGTATCCCTGATATGGAAATGTTGCTTTATTAATTGACAAAACCTATCGATAATAATATGAAGAAACAAAAATAAAACCAACTGAAAAGAGACAGGCCAGGTAATAAAAGAAACACCCAAAAGTTCAAATTAAATAAAAAAAGAAATACAAAAAGATCAGTATGAGAACATCTGAAGAAAAATGGCGGAAAAAATAAAAAATATAACTTAATAAAAGAAAAAGGGTCCTGAATATTAATAGGACAACATATTGTTTATATCAGCAGTACACCTTTATCTACAGTTGATTCAATATAACACCTAGTTTACACTATTTACTTTTATTTTACAGTTTGAATTTAGAATTAAATCTCTTCATATTACAGGTGATGGACAGGTGGATAAACGTCACAAAACGCCAAGAGCACGCGCCACGTGACATAAACACTAAATATATTATTTAGCTGTATTTGTGAATTTATTATATTTCATTATTTCAATATTTAAGCGAGATGTTGGTTGATATTGTAATATGTAACCAAACATCTCATTACTTATTCATATTACCATATTTTTTTTTCACTATTAATTTAATATTTTTAAAACTGCAGTTGGTGAAATAGGGGGCACGTTGTAGTGTTTAGGTGGTAGGTGTGAGACTCCTGCGCTTAAAGAATACTTTAGATTTTTTACACAAAAAATTTATTCAATATAGCGAGGCACGGAGTTTGAGTACATTTTTATCGTTATTTTTTTTAGTTTCATGAAAGATAGCTGGATTGAAGGTTTTATATTTTTTTTCTTATAATTTAAATATGCTTTGGAAATTAACGCTGTTCAGGTATTCACACCCACGTGTAATTCTCCTTGTATTTGAGTAGACGTCATTTGTGAAAGCTATTTCAAAACTAACCAGCAAAATATTGATCCCTGTTTACGATATAACACGTATTCCACATAGGCTTTAAACAGACCGAGTCCTATATTATTCTTCTTTGAAATTAATGCCGGTTCGGTTTTCATAATCACGAAGTATTTTTCTTAGTATTTAATTAGATTTTATATAGGCTTTAAACAAGGCGAAGTGTCTGGTCCTATATTATTCAATAAATGCGTTAATTATTTTTGCTAAACCATTTAGTATGGCAATCAACAAGTACATCCGAGATGTTTCAATTTATAAGACAACAAACCAAATGGCACAA